TGGAAGTTTGCTGTCGATGACCGTATCTCCTAAGGGCCCAAGATGATGGATAACTAAGAAGTCCACAGAACCTGACTGACTAAACTTAGTAGTCCTCTTCTTCTCAGGGACAGAATGCTTGGAAGGACACAGGTTTTGACAAATGGTACTAGGACACATGGATATCCACATGCAAAAAAGTGAAGTTGGACCCCTTCTTCATACCACATACAACAATTAACTCAAAACGGACTGAAGACCTAAATGTATAAAATTTTTAGAAGTTACAGAGGAGTAATTATTTATGATCTTGATTTAGGCAATAGAGATCTCAGATATGATACCAAAGCCAGAAAGAACCATAGGCAAAAAGGTATGTTGAACTTCATCAAAATTAAAAACTTACATGCTTCAAAGACATCATCAATAAAGTGGAAAAAAAAAAACCACCAAAAAGAGGGAGAGAGAAAAATTATATATCTGATAAGGGTTTAGCATCCAGCATATATAAAGAAATCTTGCAATTCAACAGTAGAGACAAACAACTCAATTAAAAATGGGCAAAGGAGAAGAACAAGGAGACTGACACTACATGACTTCAAGACTCAGTACGAAGCCACAGTAATCAAGACCGCGTGCTACTGGTGAAGGAGCGCACAGAACAACGGGACAGAACAGAGTCCAGAACCACCCGTACAAAGAGACGCAACTGAGCTTTGACAAAGGATCAAAAGCAATCAGATGGACAAAGGACAGTCTTCTCAGCAAAGGGTGTTGGGACAACTGGATACTCACACACCAAAAGAACAGGCATGTAGACCTTACATTTTTTGCAAAAAATCACTCAAAATTAACCAGACCTAAATGTGAAACACAAAACTATAAAGTTCCAAAAGATAACACAGGAGGAAATCTAGGTGACCTCATGATGATAATCTAGCTTCACGGTGACTTTTTAGGTACAACATCAAAACTATGACCCATGAAAGAAAAAAATGGACAGGCTGGACTTCTTTAAAATTAAAAACTTCTGTTCTGTAAAAGACTGTACGAGAATAAAAAGACAAATCGTGGACTAGCAGAAAATATTTGCAAAACTCCTATGTGATAAAGGCCTAGTATCCAGAATATATTTTAAAAACCATTTAAGTCTTAACAACAACAACAAAACCACCTAATTAGAAAATGGCAAGAGAGGCGCCTGGGTGTCTCAGTGGGTTAAGCCTCTACTTTCAGCTCGGGTCATGATCTCGGGGTCCTGGGATCAAGTCCTGCATTGGGCTCCCTGCTCAGCGGGGAGCTGGCTTCCTCCTCTTTCTCTCTGCCTGCTTCTCTGCCTACTTCTGATCTCTCTGTCAAATAAATAAAATATTAAAAAAAAAAAAAAAGAAAATGGCAAGAGATCTGGACACTCACTAATAAAGATACACAGATGGCAAATAATATGGATATCTTATGTCTTTAGGGAATTTCAATGAAAACAACATGATACCACAACATACCTATTAGGATGGCCAAAACCCGAAACACTGATACCACCAAATTCTAGTGAGGACACAGAACAAAAGGAATTCTGATTCTCTGCTGCTGAGTGGCACAGTCACTTTGTAATATGGGTTACCAGTTTCTTACAAAACTAAACAAACCCTTACCCCATGACCCAGCTATTAGACTCCTTGGTATTTACCAAAATGAACTGAACACTTCTGCTCACACAGATGTGCATACACATGTTTACAGTGGCCTTTTTTGATAATTACCAAATTCTGGAAGAAATTAAGAGGACCTTCAATAGCTGAATGGATAAACAAACAGGTACATCTTGATAATGGAATACTATTCAATACTAAAAAGAGATGAGCTATCATGCCATGGAATCACATGGAATAACCTTTTTTTAGAAGATTTTATTTATTTATTTGTCAGAGAAAGACAGAGATCGAGCACAGGCAGGGGGAGCAGCAGGAAGGAGAAGCAGGCTCCCCGCTGAGCAGTGATCCCGATGTGGGGCTCAATCCCAAGACCCTGGGATCATGACCTGAGCCAAAGGCAGACGCTTAACCAACTGAGCCACCCAGGCATCCCCAAATGGAGTCATCTTAAATGCATATTGCTACGTGAAAAATCCAACCTGCAAAAACCACATACTGTACGATTCCAACTGTATGACACTCTGAGAAAGGCAAAGCTGTGGAGACAGTAAAAATATCAGTGACTCAAAGGGATTTGGAGGAAGGGAGGGGATGAAAGGTGGAGCACAGGGTGTTTTCAGGGCACTGAAAATATTCTGATGATACTAGAATGGCTGAATACATGTATTTGCCAAAACCCCCCTACTATCTATGCATTACTGCACTTTCTAATGTACAACAGAGTGAACCCTAATATAAACTATGAACTTTAAGTAGTAAAAATTTATCAACACTGGCTCATCAAATGTAATGAGTATACTACACTAATGCACGATGTGAATAACAGGGGAACCTTCGGAGGGGGCAAGGGCCTGCATAGGAATTCCCTGTACTTTCTGTTCAATTTCTCTGTAAACCTCCTTGAAAAACTTTTTTTTTTTTTTTTTTGTTAAGTGCAAAGGATTTCAACGAACATTCCTTCAAAGCACATATAAAAGTGGCCAGTAAGGACACGAAAAGATGCTCAGCTTTAATAGCCATTAGGGAATTACAAATGAAAACCACAATGAGCGAGCACTTCACAACCACGAGGATGGCTGTAACCAACAAGAGGGACAACGACGAGAGAGACGGGACTCCGCCATGCCCTGCCAGTGGAAACACAGTACAGTGCGAGTGCTAGGAAAACAGCTTGGCAGTTCATCAAATAGTTTAACAGAGTCATCACATAACCCACAAATTCCAATTTTAAGTATATGCAAGAGAAAGGAGAACACAAGTCACCAAAATTTTCTACAACAGCCGGAGTAGAAACAGCCCAAATGTCCAGCAACTGAGGAACGAACAAACAATGGTACATCCATGCAATGAGCTACTGTTCAGCCATAAAAAGCAACAACACAGCTGCACCATGAAAATACGCTAACTCAGTAAGTCAGATGCTAGACACCATGTACTGTGAGACTCAATTTGTGTGAAATGACCCGGACAGGCAACATGTCCAGGAGAAAGCACGTTAGTGGCTACCAGAGGCCGTGGGGGAAATGATGAAGAGTGACGGCTGTTCTGGAATTGGGAGCGATGGTGGTGCAACCCTGTGATATAGTCAAAACCACAGAACGGTATCATCTTAAAAATAAGTAAAAGGATCTCTAAGCAGTTTTACTTCCTCTGAACCCATTTGTTCATTGTGTAATTAAATAAGGTTTATGATTCTTTTCAGAGTCTGTGCTCTGTTTTATCATTTACTGAGAAATGATCCATTTACACAAGTGGGTGTTAAATTACTTTCCGGGGAGAAAATGATTTAGCAAAGGCTATTCTGGAGCACTGATTTACTTATTTCTCACTAGGGGGTGAGCTTTTGAGCTGATGCACAATTTAGGGAAATGGTACCCATTATTTTATGAACAAACCCTGAATAAATGGGAAGTCCTCTGAGGTGGCTGTAGGTCATACTGTAACTTTTTTTTTTAAGATTTTATTTATTTATTTGACAGAGAGAGATCACAAGTAGGCACAGAGGCAGGCAGAGAGAGAGGAGGGGAAGCAGGCTCCCTGCTGAGCAGAGAGCCCGATGCGGGGCTCGATCCCAGGACCCTGAGATCATGACCTGAGCCAAAGGCAGAGGCCCAACCCACTGAGCCACCCAGGCACCCCCATACTGTAACTTTTTAGAAAAAGATTTTATTTATTTAGAGAGTGTGCGTGGGAGGGCGAGGGGCAGGAGAGGAAGAATCTCAAGCAGACCCCCCACTGAGCATGGAGCCCGATGTGGGGCTCAATCCCACCACCCTGTTATCATGATCTGAGTCAAAATCCAGAGTCTGACACTTAACCAACTGAACCACCCAGGTGCCCTCATACTGTAACTTTTAAGCAAAAGGGGGCAAGGGAAATATTTGGGTAAACCTCTAACTGGGAGTCAATTTTTTAAGAGTTCAACTGTACTATCTTCTTGATAGATAACTAAAAAATCTTCCTGTGTCAAAATCTAGGGCTTTCCCCTTAAAAAAAAAAAAAAAAAAAAAAAAAGCAAACAGATTCTAGGAAAGCCTGGAATAACAAAGGGAGACTGGTCGACCTAAAAATATATCTAGCTACAGTGACTGAGCCCTACACTGGCAATTCTCAAAACTCTGCCTTCCTCACATGCCTGACCTAGATCCCCTTAGAGCTGCCCCTCCTAGGGTGACCAGACACTGGGAGTCAGCCTCTGTATGGGGACATAATTCAACTGTCAAGAACACATTCCGTAACATGCACAAAGGCCAAGGACAACAAACACACGGATGTGCCTTCTTCTTTTTAAAGAATACAACAGTCATAGGGTCAAAAACGAAAACCACACAGAAGGATATAAAATGAAAAGATTCCCAGGCTCTCCCGCTCTCCTTCCCAGATGTGATACTGATTACATTTCCTGTGCAAATTATCTTATTTCTGAATGTTATTAATATGACAGGAATATTGGGGCGCCTGGGTGGCTCAGTGGGTTAAGCCTCTGCCTTCGGCTCAGGTCATGGTCTCAGGGTCCTGGGATTGAGCCCCGCATCGGGCTCTCTGCTCGGCGGGGAGCCTGCTTCCCCCTCTCTCTGCCTGCCTCTCTGCCTACTTGTGATCTCTCTCTGTCAAATAAATAAATAAAATCTTAAAAAAAAAATATGACAGGAATATTATGCAGAATATGTTTCTTCTAAGTCTTCCAGAGCCTGCCTGCCTTCATCAGAAATGGAGGTTAAATTCAGGTCCCAGGTATTGAAACTTGAAATTTTCCTGCAATCTAAAACAGATTTCAGACCTAAATAGATTCGATTTCTTTTTTTAATAAAAAATTCACACATTTTACCTTTTAAGTCAGATTTTATTTCTATTCATGGCAAAACAAACTCTTCAAATATTTATAAAAATACCAAAAGTTGGCAGTCACTTGGAAACAATTTATTATTAACTAGAAATCCATTAAGAAAATGCACTGAATACACTCAAAGTTAAAATGAAACAGTGACACGGGTTCAATGCCTTGACAAATAAATCAACAGTTCCTGGTAAAACTCCCAATACAAGAGAAGTTTAAAAACAAATGCCCTTCGAATTCCAGTTTTGTGCCTGTAAACAGGTCTCAGCTGACCTCAGTGATAAGCTTAACAACCACATCACTGTGACTGGCAGGGTTGGGGATGGTTGAAATAATCTTGTAATTACAAGGGCGTGGGAAGTAATCCAATTAATAGCACCAAAAATATGTAATCTCACAATAAAGGGAGCACTGATTTGAAAAATTAATGTCTGTGGGCATTTTCTTCCCCAAATGGGGGGTAGAGCAAATGTGGGCAATTACCGTTCAGCAATATTCCCAGGACCTAAGGCACCCAGCCGTCCGGGGCTCCTGACTCTCCAAACCTCGGTATCCGCAAGCTCCTCACGTGGTCCTCCCAGGACCCGGAACTGGAGCGCTGAGGCCGCCGCCGCCAACAAGCTCCGATTCGCATTACCAGGCTCCAGCCCTTCAGATCCCGTCCCTACCTGTGCCCCTTCTAATGCCGCAACAAGCCGCCCCTGTGCAAGCGCAGCCCGCCTGGCCTCGGGGCGCGCAGGAGGCGCACGCGGTCCTAAAGGCAGCCGGCGCTGGACTTCTGTCACCGCCGTCCGCGGCCTGCTGTGCGGCTCGTCCACCGGGACGGGCGGACGCCCTAACGTTGCAGACTAAGTAATGAGCTCGTGAACAACAGCCCTGCCAGGCCTCTCTTCTCTTACCCTTGCTGTTCTCCAGGAAGAGATTCCTCTCCGGTGAGCCAAGTCCAGCGGCTCATTCCAGCCTGCAGCAGCGACGCGTGGCTCCGGGAGTGTCCGGTCATCTGCCCGGATTCTCCCCGCTCGGCCCCCACAACGGCACTCAGCGCCCCTGCTCGGGAAGCGCCGAGAGCAGATGACGCGACTAGGACACGGCCCATCACAGGCGACACAAGCAGTCCTCCTGCTGCGTATGGGGCCTGGCCACGACTATGGCAAAGGCCACAGAAGAAACATTTTTACCACGGGGGGTTGCACGGTCATCGTCCTGACGTCGTCCGCCTCCCTTCAGCTCTCTGCCCTGACAGCCTCCGTCTGTCTTCACCACGCTGCGTCTCCCGGAGGCACGAGGACCTCTTCTAAGCCGGTTTTTGTGGTTTCTCCAGCCAACCGTGAAACCAGGCCTGCTGGGACGGAGGGTGAAACCCTGAGCAATTCTCTGGGAGGCCAGGAACCGGCTGCTGACTTCTCAGGGTCTTGAGGCGGCCAGGCCGGCCGTGCCCCTCTACGCGGCGTCCTCGTCATCCCCCGTCACGATGTCCGGGTTCCTCTTCTGCTCGGCCTCCGGCCCCGCGGGCAGAATGCTGGTCACGGTGTGGAGAAGTGCCTCGATCTGCTCCTCCGTGAGCCGCTCTTCGCTCTCCTCCACCATCTGCAGAAGGAGACCTCGGAGGGTTACAGTCGAGCCGCACAGGCCAAGTCCGACCCTGCCCTCCCCACCCACGTTGTTCCCGGTCCGCTGCCCTCCGGCGTGCCAAGCTCGGGGCCTGGCTGCAGAGCCCCCTCGGGGCTCTTGGTCCTCTCCGTCCTGGTGGGAGGGAGGGAGAAGCCGACTCAAATTCCTAAGCCACCGCTCAAAATGGGTCAAGGCAAAAAGCAACTTGCAGGTTAGCACTTTTCCTCAAAGAAACAGAAAACTCTACCAGTCCTACACCCACCCACATGCACACGTGAGTCTGTTGTATGTGCCAAGAAAACTCACCTCTGGCAAGTGAAATGGCCCTTTACATACTTCCGGATTTCACAAGCACAGCTGAACTCAGGAATCCTACCAGCAACTCATCTGATGGTGGCCCACTGCGTGCCAATGCTCCTCTACTTCTCCGCATCCCCACTCCCACCACCAGCAGCTCTTCCAGGAGCTCGCGTGCTTGACCGCACACAGCACTTCCCGTCTGGTACTTCTCTCAAGCCTCGCAACAGTCCCGGCCAAGGAGAGGATGGGAATCCCAAGCCAGGCCTGCCTGACACTTAACACCTACAATCAACCTAACACACACCATGTGGCCCTGGTCCTCTCCTGGGAACGTGGAGCAGGAGTCTGATGAGTGACGGCTGGGGAATGACCCCCGCTGTCTCACTAAATCAGGTCCACTTAGAGCCCAGCGTGACACATCCTGGAAATCTACACACGAACGACCCACAATTATGAGCAGTTTTCTTAGCCTCACCTCTAGTTCTCCATATATTAACGAATACAAACACAGTCAACAATGTTTTTAAGAGTAACACACCGGCAGGCAAAGTACTAACCCATGTTCCCTCAGTGGCACCAGTCATCTATCACAAACAGCTAGACGTGTCCAGGGTTCTGTTCTGCGGCATTTCCCAAAGCAACTCTGAAATCTGCCAACTAAGACCAAGAGGAATTCTGTGAAGAAATCCTAGCAGATTTAAGTAAAACAAACGACAAGCTAGGCTTACAACCATGAAAAGGATTTCAGTCTAACTATCTCACTTCAGACGACAGCAGAGAAGCTGATCAGATCAGGTAATGTGTCCAAGATCACATCACAAACTCCTGGCAAACCACTGGTCTCTTCAAGTTTCTACGACCAGAGAATAATCCTGAGTGTTCTAGGGTGGGAGATCCTTTTTTTTTTTTTTTAAGATTATTTATTTATTATTTAATAGACAGAGATCACAAGTAGACAGAGAGAGGAATAGGGTGGGAGATCCTGAGTGAACCAACGGGGCTGCGGTCATATAAAAAGACCATTTCCTAAAGATTCAAAGGCTCCATAAAATGTAAGCTCTATTGAACAAGAAATGATCCTCAAAAATCCATTTTTTAAACCAGACATGTAAAATTAGGGTGTGTAAAAGGAAATAATCTAACACAGACTGTCTCCAAAATATGAAGGAGTTGGAAAGGGGTACATCCGATTTGATTATTTAATCTTAAGAAAAGATGGTCTCCACCGAGAGAGGAATGTCTCCAAATTCGTGAACTGGCACGTGCATTTAGTTCGGAACTGCTCCCCAGCTCGGGGGAAGCGGGCAGGGAGGTTCAGACGGCTCTGGGACGCTGACAACCTCCCAGCAGTACTCGTGTGGGGGCTTTCCCACAGTCCCCACCCAGCACGCGGCCGTCCACTGTTGCGTAAGCGCGGGCTCAGCATTACGAAGCCCGACCTGGGCCTCAGAGCAAGTAGTGCAAGGTCTTGTGACTTTGGATTCCAGCTCTTTTTTTTTTTTTTTTGAAAGAATTTAGTTATATGACTTCTGAGAAGCCTTCATTTTTAGAAGACCAAATGGAGAAGACTTGACCAGGCCACCTTCCTGCATCCCCTCCTCTGGTGTGGCAGATGCAGTGATGGTCAGGCGTCAGCTAATGTGTTCCCGGTGAGAGTGCCGGAGAACAGAAGGTTTCATCAGCACACACTTCTCGGGTCACAAACTTTTCACACTAAGATTCCCAGTCACAGCAAGAAAACCCAAACCTCATTAAGCAAAATGAAACACACAGACACAAAAAGAAACTCTCAGAAACCAAAAACTCACTAACCCCTCTTGGATCAAGACAAAATGATACGAACTCTATCACTTGTCACCTTTTCTTCCCAACACGGAGGAAACTGAGGCCAAAATAAGGAAATGCAAAGCACCATCTCAACATCTAAACACTGAGGTTTCAAGTTGTTCCGAATATAAGGGCGAATGAATGTGAAAATCCCAAGTATCTGCAGATGGGTCAAAAAGAAAGTTTCATCACATACAAATTCCTAGGGGCTGTCAAACTGGCCTGCTAGACTCCAAAAATGGTTGCTTCTCATTCTAAGCTGTCAAGGCAAACTTCCTACTTTACCCAAAACAACAAAACAACTCAAACTAGTAACAATGGACACTTCTATTTGACCCAGAACAGTTCACTTAATCTCTGTAACTTTCAAATTTTCTCCACTGTAAAATGAAAGTAATGCCTACAGTAAGGACCAAATGAGAACAAACATTACAGTGTTTTGTAAGCCATAAAACTCTTATTTATTCCAAGACATTTAATAATCATTTAAAAAAAGATTTTATTTATTTATTTGACAGAGATCACAAGCAGGCAGAGAGGCAGGCGGTGGGGGGGAGGGCGTGGGCGGGGGGGGGGGAAACAGGCTCCCTGCTGAGCAGAGCCCAATGCCGGTCTTTATCCCAGGACCCTGAGACCATGACCTGAGCCAAAGGCAGAGGCTTTAACCCACTGAGCCACCCAGGCGCCCCTATAATCATTAACTTTTTAAAAAAAATATGTTATTTATTTGACAGACAAAGAACACAAGCAAGGAGAGTGGGAGGGGGAGAAGCAGGCCTCCCGCTAAGCCAGGGCCCTGATACGGGGCTCAATCCCAGGATCCTAGGGCCATAACCTGAGCTGAAGGCAAAGGCTTAACCATCTGAGCCACCCAGGCGCCCCGATAATCCCTGACTTTTAACAGGCATACATATATGGAGTGCTGTTCAGGACAGTGGCCTGTGAGGTCATGAGGCTCACTGTCCTGTCTTCAGGCCAGAGAGCTCACGAACTGTTCCCATACGAACACACAACAGGGAGTGGCAGAAATCACGAAGCTGGTGGCTTCCTCCTCGCCTCACAGACAGCAGACAGTCACCTGTGGATCTGTGGATCTCAGCAAATCATGGCTGAGGTGTAACTAAAAGCAGCTTCAGCCTCCAAAACAGAACACTAATAAATGCTGGGTGCCGCACATGCTTCTGGACGTGAGGAGAATAAATGAGCTGTTAGGTTATCGCAGGGAATCCTCTGTACTTCACACCCTGTGTGAAAACCTCATTTCTTATCCCTCGCTTGGGAGGAGACACTGCCACAAGCCTTGGTAGATGTTTCGCTACCCTCTGTAGCCAAATCCCAGGCTTGGGAAAAATCGGAGTATAAAATGGTCTGACTGCTGGGAAACAATATACACATGAAGACCTACTACCTACTTGTGAAAAGGCGAAAAGAACAGACAGTCTCAGGGGACACCACACACATCTTCCTTCTTGCTATGCAAAGCACATGGCTTGGAGGAGAAAGTAAGGCTTTGTCAGACAGACCCAATTAGCCCGTCACTAGCACAGACTCTGCTGAGGGCATGAAAGGTGACATACACAAATCCCACGGCATACAGCAGGCACTCTTAATAGTAGCTAATTGTACCAAGTAATGACAGAGTTTCTACAGGGATGAGGTCACGCTAATCCTCATCTCCTCTCTCCATCTGTCATTAAGCCATGAATAACATATGTTGCTGATTAAAGTTGGAGGAAATAGGACATGTGATCTTTAACCCAGAGGGACATGAATTAGTTTCTTGCTGATGTGTTTGTTTCTTCTTTTCTAAGCTGTATCTTCAACACAGTTGAAAGCATCAGAATAAGGGTACAAAAAAAAAAAAAAGGATTTCTATTTAGCCTAAAGGCCAGTTCCCCCAGAAAGTCACCCTTTATGGAAGGAATTTTTCTAATTTAATTTTGGGTGCACTCTGAAGGACAGAAACAACACTGGGAAGACAATAAAAGTTATAGTCAAAAACTAAATTCCCGTGACCCTTTCAAAAAGGTTCTTTGTAAAGCGATTCTAAACATCATAGGTATTTCTGGTTACTTTCTTCCACACTCTTCTGAAGGAACTTTGACAAAGGAGAAGTTCTTCTAAAATTGACTTTGCAAATTCCTTAATTCTCCTTTCGTTAATTCTCCGATCAGTTTTTTTTTCTTAAACCGGCAGTTAAATGGCCTGCCTGATACTTAGAGCTTCGACGGTATTCTCTGCCCTGCACAGCGGAGGGAAACTGCCCCAGGACATCAACACAGCAGCTGCTCGGTTTGTCTCACTGGGCCTCATTTTCATACTCTCCTTAGACCATGTGTGGCTCCTACTCTTGCCGCTTCGCACCATTCTAAAGCTTGGGTCGCCTGTGCAAGTGATGAGAGTCCGCTGAACGGTCGTATGCCGCGAAACAAGACTATCACGTCTGTGGTTTTAGAAAGTGAACTGACCGTGGTGGGAAAGGTAGACTGGAGGGGCCAGACTGAGGCAGGGATGACAAGAGGACAACCGCGAGAGCCACACTGAGAAGTGACAGAAATGGACACGGTGCAGCAGGGAGAGAAGAGAGAACAAGGGAAGACAGAAGCAACGGAACCTAGGGACTGAGTGCGTAGATCAAAGGCAGAGAATGACTTCCAGGTTTCTGGCTTAGGAGACTGGGCCAGGAGGCTGAGAGAGCACAGGAGGAAGGGCACATGTGCTCCGTGAACCAAGAACAGAAACGGGGGAGCAGGGCTGAAGGCAGGAGTCAGGGAGGAGAAATTCTGCCAGAGTCGTGGTGAGTCTATTGTTTCCACGCAACATCTGGTTGGCAGTAATGCCTACAGGAAACCAGTGGCCAGAACCGGGCAGGACATCAAGGGAGACAAAGAGCCGCTGAGATGCCCAAGCCCCGAGAAAGAACTAAACTTCGTCTCGCCTCTTACTTTCCAAGTCCGTACCAACTAGGATCAAACTGGTGAGGTCCCCTCCTCTCACGAAATGGGGGTAGTCGGGCCATCTTTTCAAGAAATGGCAATTCCTGCCTCGTCTGTTCTCCACCTTTATCACCTTCCTCCCTCTCAGGCCCGGAAACCAGCCCCTCACGCTCAGGCCATCTTCACTCACCAGTTGGATCTCAACAGCAGTCATAGGCCTGTGATTCAACAGCTGAAGCTTTTCAGCTCTGTCAAAAGAAAAGTACAAAGAATTTAAAACTCTTATTCCCTTTAGAATCCTGAGTCTTGACCAAACTGTTTAGAGAACGCTGTGTCAGATGACAAATGGGAGAACCTGCTGGAACGTGGCCTTCGGTTTCTTCAACTGTAAAATGAGAGAATGAGAACAGGAGAGCCTATGTCGGAGACTCTCGGAGGGTACAAGTGTGTATCAGAATTCTGACAACAACAGAGATACTGACGAAAAGAAATGTAACAAATAGCAGAGGTGCAGTCTTAATACACTTTATCGGAAAAATATGAAGAAAATAACATTCTCTTAATCCAGATTATAGAAAGATTATAAAACAATCTTGGTTGGTTGGTATCACTTAGAAATGGCTGAGAATTTGGGGCACCTGGGTGGCTCAGTGGGTTGAGCCTCTGCCTTCGGCTCAGGCCATGATCTCAGGGTCCTGGGATCGAGCCCCGCATCGGGCTCTCTGCTCAGCAGGGGGTCTGCTTCCCCCCCCCCCCTCTGCCTGCCTCTCTGCCTACTTGTGATCTCTGTCTGTCAAATAAATAAATAAAATCTTAAAAAAAAAAAAAAAAGAAATGGCTGAGAATTCCTTTTTGAGATTAATATTAAACGTCAGATTTTGACTTATTATCTTAGAAAACAAAAACCAGGACAGGAAGGGGGCAGGGGCTAATGTACAGAGGCACAGGCGTAGTCCTCTACACACACAGTTCACAGTCCAGCTGGGAAAGGAGACAAACACAAGCCAGTCTTAACAAACAGGTCACAACTAAAGGGAAGAATCTTCACCGGTCACAAGACCACAGTGAGCTCACTGCCAGAGGGGTGGCTGAAATGTGTGGACTCTCACAGGTGACACAGGACTTAAAAGAAAAAAGAAGAGCTCCAGTGACCGCCCCTGTGTAGGTGACAATTTTGAAGTTTCATCTCTCATTCTGACCCAGGAGCTCCAGACTCCTCTTTCAGTTCAACTCAGTAAATATTTATTGAGCTTAAAGGCATTCTGAAATGAACAGATGAATGAGCCACAGGCCCACAGCGGCTCTGGGGGAAGCAGCACATTAGCCAGCCGCCCTATGCCGGGGTCTCACCATCTGTACAACAGCAACGATGACAGAACTTGTGTCTCACCAGGGGGTTCGTAGGGATGGACATCTTTCCGTTTATACCGTCCGCAGCTACCATTTGTTGCTTACTTCCCATATGGCGAGCACACTGAGCCCTCCAACCTAACCGACGCTGAGATGGTGAGTAACCTGCCCAAGGTTACACAGCTAGGAAATGGCAGAGCTGGGACTCGGCCATCAAAGCTCATGTTCTTAACCATCTGCTTCTAGTACTCAGTATTCAACACGATGACTGTCACACAGCTATGTCTCCACAAATGGCAGTCATTAGGGAGGCACTTGTAATTAAGTTCTACTCCTCATATTCCCCCAAACATTTCCTCTAGACTCAAAGATGACTTCACAGAGGAGGAAACCCTTGCACTGGGCCCTGAAGGATTTTCTAGGCAAAATGATTATAGGAAAGGGGAGTCAGGACCAGAACAGCCCGAGTAAATGGCCAGAAGAACAAAAATGACGGAATTTTGGGAAACAGCTGCATGAGAGGCTGTGGGACCTGAGGCTGGGTCATCAGAACAAGACCACACAGGCTCCAACTGCAGGGCTGCACGTGACTCTGCGGACACCGGAAAGCAACCGAGGAAAGACGTGACATGCTCTCAGGTGAGAAGAAATGAGGCAGGGCTGGCAATGAGACTGGACAGTGAAGCGCTCCTGGCCACCCCGAGGTCAACAGGACCTAACAACCGCCTCAGTGGGGCGGGGACAGGCGAAGGAAAGAGAAGAGTCAGGGTTCAATGTCAGGCTTTTAGGCTGTTTGGGAAAAATTTATTATTTGAAATCTGAGTTTGAGTTTGAGGTTGCTTTCGGAACAACAAGGAGAACTCTGTCCAGCCACCTGTCTAGTTTTAGGTCTAGTGCGACCAGCAGACTGGACGTATCAGCAAGGAGTCACACGAAACAATGGGAGTGCACCACGGTCCACACCAACTACACAGCAAGTGAAGACCAGGACAGGGGGCGGGGGGAGCAGGCTGACAGTCAGAAGTCACCGGATTTGCCAAAACAGAGGACACCAGTGGCCTGTGCAAGTAGTTTGGTAGAATGACAGTGGTGGGGACAACTGGATTGTGGGGACTAAGGATTAACTGTGGAGAAATTAACCTTTACTTTTCCTGTAATGCAGTATCACTGCTTTATTAAGACCTTTAAAACAGACTCTATTCTACATTTTGAGTATAAAAAAATCCACAAGTGCGCCACAGTGCAAACAGAAACATACAACAGAGGATTTCCATAATAATCAATGGTACAGCCAAAAGCATCACACGTACAGAACCCAACATTTAGATGAACTGAAATTATAAGATAAAATAGAACCCAATTTCAGAAAAGAAAAACCAAAGTACTAAGGATCCCGAAACATTCTTAGCGCTAATGAGATTTCACTGGACTCAAATCACTCGGAGGTGAGGCATTCACAGTATGACCCCATTAACCCTGCTTGGGAATTCTCAGGAGCCGTGAGTGGCTGCATCGGGCAGGCTGACAACAAAGGGCAACCAGATTTTGATCTGAAAACTCCCCTTTATTTGGCTCTAAAGTTATCAGGCTTTTGAAAGGCATCTTCCTCACTGCCCCTCAGATTTTATTTTATTTTTTAAAGATTTTATTTATTTGACACACAGAGATCACAAGCAGGCAGAGAGGCAGGCAGAGAGAGAGGGGGAAGCAGGCTCCCTGCAGAGCAGAGAGCCCGATGCGGGGCTGGATCCCAGGACCCTGGAATCGTCAACTGAGCCGAAGGCAGAGGCTTAACCCACTGAGCCACCCAGGCGCCCTGCCCCTCAGATTTTAAACAATTTGCTTTCAGTCCAGTTTGTACTGATGTTCTTTGTTCAAACCAACCTCAGTTTTCCCGGCACCAAAGCAAATTTAGGTTTGGCCCGTGTCTAGTAAAACAACCTGTGAGGGAGGTCCAAGAGGCAGATGCAAAAGCAAAAGCAATGGGGTCTGTGCTTAGGGTACAGAAGGGGTTTGAGACTCCCTGTGAAAGACGAGCTCAAAGATGGCGCGTGGGGAGATGTGAGGAGGGAAGGAAGTCAGTCCGGCTGGCCTGTCCCGCAAGTCAGACTCAAGGGGAAACGGCAGGAGGAACAGAAGACTAGGCCTGATGGTGGGACACGCAAAGGACGGAAAGGCAAAGGCAGACACCTGAAGCATTTTACTTCCCACGTGCACTGTAGGTCAAAGACTTAGAGGAAAGTAAAGGCCAAGCAGAATGACTTGACAACTTTAATTCTCGGAGGGTGAACGTTCCCTCCAAGCCTAATTTGATAATTTCATGACGGAAAGCCAAGACCAGCGTGGCACAGCATCGCTCCGCAGGAATTTAAGGATGATCCTCGGGGCTACCTCACCGACGTGGTTTCATGGATGGCTGCCTCCCCCGCATCAAAACGCTTCGGGGAGGTTCTGCCACCACAGCACGGTTTCTCAGTAAATCTGAAAAGTGCCCAAAGTCGGGCAGCAGAAAGACCGCGCCACGGGAGTCTGAAGTGCAACGTGAGGCTGACAGGACCAGAGCAGGTGAGCTACGACAGTGCCAGAGGGACGTGACCTCTTTCCCAGCACACTGGCGGTCTGCCCCTCACCAGATGCCGGAGCCGCCCCCCTACGCCACCCGTGAAGAGGTTTCCTTTCCGCTGAGTTCGAAGGACAGTGGCTCCCTGCTGCACGCGGAGCAGCCCCGGGAAGGCGTGCGGCGGGTGGAGGAGGACCGCAGCCGGCGGCAGGCCCGGCCCTGCATGCGGCGCCGGCAAAACACCCTCCCTCCGCCGGCACCGCTGTGCCAGGCACACAGATGGACCAAGTGGACAAGCCGCAGGGACTGTGGAACCTAAAGCCCGTCTGGGCCCTGGGAAGACGCGGTGAGGCATGGGGGGACGTGGTAGGGACCGCGGCAGTCGTGGGTGCACGAGGCTCAGACGACGGAGCTCTGAGTGGGCAGAAGGAGCATTAGCACGGGCAGCCTGAGGAGGACACAGGTCTGAGGGGACACCGGACGGCCACGAGGCTGCACAGGGTAGACTGGCCGTGCTCGACACTGACCTCTGCAGTTCACAGAGGTCACGGGTCTGGTTCTGCGCAGCATCACAGACCAAAATACCCTCCTGACAGGTAGAACTAAAAGAGCAGAGACAGCCTGGGGATGGCAGGTTCTCGAGGGACACTGCAGCACGGCTGCTGGGTGAGAGCTAAGCACAAGGAAAGATTGAAATTATAGGGGAGAAAGGGAGAAAGACCCTCAGAAAAACAGAAGTCCCACGTTTTGGCAAAGAGGCTCATCGTGTTCCACTGAGGCCACAGCACTGTTGGGGGGGGGGCAGATCTGAGGGGACCTGAAGGGAAAGGCCATTCATTCACTGGATAATTCTCAGTGAAGGAAGTGAAGTCACCATCTGAGAAGGCAGGAAGGACCCGGAATAAGACCAGCTGCAGGTGTGTTTGTCTGTGTTTGAGAAAGAGAGGGAAAAGGAGAAGCAGACTCCCCACTGAGCAAAGGGCCCAATGCTGGGCTTGATCCCAGGACCAAGAGATCCTTTTTTTTTAAAAAAATACTTTATTTATTTATTTATCGGAGAAAGAGCACAAGCAGGGGGAGTTGCAGAGGGAGAAGCAGACACCCTGCTGAGCAAGGAACCCAACACAGGACTTAATGCCAGGACCCTAAGATCTTGACCTGAGCCAAAGTTAGATGCTGAACTGAGTCACCCAGGTGCCCCCAGCAAGCAGTTTTTGTTTTGTTTTGTTTTTAAGATTTTATTTATTTGTTTCAGAGAGAGAGAGAGAACACAGGCATGACAAGGGGGAGGGTCAGCGGGAGAAGCAGACGCCGTGCCGAGCAGGAAGCCCAATGCAG